GCGGTTGGCGAAGTCGCTGCAGGTCGGAGGTCAGGAAGTCAGGGATCTGGAGCTTCGAGGTGTGCACCGCACCAGGATGCCAGCTCCGGGTAGGGGCGCTTTGGGGTCGATTTTTTTCCCCTTAGGATATTATTTTGAAAGAAAACAACTTTGGGCAGGATACTGTATGATGAGCAGAAAATCGCGACTTTCATTGATTTTGCCGTAAGCAATCATCCTACCCCTTACCCCTTCGTAGCCACGGGCTGTCGCCTATGCCCTAGGACAGGGTTCGTAGCCCTCCATGAGCGAAGAGGGCCATGATTATCCCTTATTTAAGATTTGAACCTGTGTTTATTTGGCTGTTAACCTCTTTTTTTCCATCTTTGCGAATTTGTATGTCTAACCTCCGTGAATGTGCGTGCATCTCATCTATTCATTCAACATATCCTGCCTCAGCTCCCCTGTGCCAGCCCTGTGCTGGAATGTGGGTACCTGGTAGTGACCAGCAAAGCACCGGTCATTGTTAACTCTTGTTTGTTTCTGAGTTTGGTGGGAAGACAGCCACTAAACTCAGAAACAAACAAGGCAGCCTGATAATTTGGGGACTAATTAGAGCCATAAGGGGAATAATCAGGATGTGTTGAGGGAGACAGTGTGATGCGCCCATTCCTCCCTTCAAACATCAATAAGGTGGCTGGCTGGTCCTGTGGTAGGTGATGCTGGAAATACAGTGGTGCCCGACAGGTTCCTGACCTCATGGAGCTACCAGTACAGAGCAGAAGACAGCAGCAGGCTTGAGTGATGGACATTCTGATGAAAGAAGCAGCACAGGCAGACGAGTTAGAGCCAGGGAGAGGGAAGCACAATCAGAGTGATTATGGCTGAGATGGAGGTGTTGTGGTAGCCCAGATTAGGCATATGACCCAGCCTGGGGGTGTCAGTGAAGCTTCCTGGAAGAGGTGCATCTAATTAGCCCAGAGAAGGGGATTTGTAGTGAGGGAAAAGCATTGGAGGCCTGTGCTGAGTAAACAAGTAGACAAATGAATTGTGATAAGTGCTCAGAAGGGAACAGAGAATCACTGGATATTATGAGAAAGAACAAGTTGTGGCTAGTGTTTATATTGAGGAATGAGAAAGATCTCTGAGAAGGAAACATTTGAGCTGAGGCCTGAGTGCAACACTGGCAGTTGTCAATAGTGGGAAGGTGTTCCAAGGTGATGGATGTTCAAAAGTCTATGGGGGCCCTGGCCGGTGTGGCTTAGTTGGTTGAGCATGTCCCAGGCACCCAGAGGTCACTGGTTCAATTCCTGGTCAGGGTGTATGCTCGATCCCCAGTATGGGGCTTGCAGAAACAGCCGATGGATGTTTCTCTCATTGATGTTTCTTTCTCTTCCCCTCCCTAATCAAGAATGAATATATATGTGTGTGTGTATGTGTATATATGTATATATTTGTATATATATGTGTGTATATGTGTGTGTGTGGGGGGGTGTGTGTGTGTGTGTGTGTATATATATATATATAGAGCCTGTGGGGGCTTGGCAGGGTCATGGTCTGAGAGGAGGCCATTGTGACTGAGGTGCAGTGAGCCCCAAGGAGGGGTAAGGTAGTAAAAGAGGGTGGTTAGCAGGGCTGGGTCCTGCAGGGCCTCATAGGCGTTAGGATTTTATTCTAAACACAGTGGGCCCTGATCTTAGGCAGAAGACAGGAAATGTTCTCTTTTGCACTGAAAAAGATCGCTTTGGCTGCCCACTGGAGAGAACGTTGGTGCAGCTAAGAATGGACAGGAGGACCCAGGGGGAGGACATTTAAGTCAGGTGCAAGCTGACGTAGTCTGAGAGGGAAGGGTAACATTGAGACATAGTGGGCAAGAATTAGCGATTGATTGGTTGGATGCCAGACAGAAGGGGAATCGGGGGCTTGGAGACGGCGATTAGGGCCCAGGGGCAACCAGAGGCCATTGCCAAGAAGTGGCCTACCTGGGTCTGGCTATAGGAGAGAAGTGGTGGCCAGAGACAGAGCCCAGAGCCTAAGGTACACTGTGAAAGTTGTGGGTGTGGGTGAGATTGCCCTAGGTTAAGGCAGAAGACAGGGCAAGGGTGGAAAATTGGGTCACACATTCCAGGGAGCTGGAAATAAGTCACCGATTGAGAGAGACAGATTGGGAATCCATCAGCTCCACGAAGGCAGGAGTTTTGCCCCTTTGATCATTGCTCCCTGCATCAGAGCCTAACACAGGAGGGTGCCAAGTAGGTATTTGTGGGCCTCAGACAGAAAAGAGAAAAAGACAGGCACAGTGTCTCAGACGCCAAGAG